GCTTCTTTGGGTTGCTGTTTCATGCCAAGGTGGATGACTTTGCAAGATCCAGGACAGCTGAGACCTTGGTGGGCAGGGGTGGGTTTGGTGGTAGGCTGGGCCTTGCTTGTACCGAGAAACCAGAGGGTGCAATTTGGTCCAGGGCTGCGCTTCTCCCCAGAACAGAACTGATGAGTCCTGGGATATGTACCACCCTCCTACGGCTGCTCCCTTCCTTGAGGACTGCGGGACTCCCTCCCCTGGGAGAGGCTGGCATTCCTGGCTTATTTAAGGAGTGGTTTAGACTTCCAGGTCTGGATTCTTCTGCTTTTTATAGACATCCTCAGGGGAGTGCAAAGAATGGCAGGAAACACAGAGGCCCTGCAAGTGCTCAGCCCTGGACACTATTGTTCAGAACTAGCGGAAGCCAGCCACAGGCAGGGCTGCCCGGGGGACCTTCCCCTGCCTGGAGGAGGCTCAGTGGAGGCTCAGCCGTGTCCTTACAGTGTGATGTAATGTTTCCTGGCCTTGGTAGAAAGGGACTACAGCTCCCGGCGTGCGTGAGGGTACAGGACATTACATCCTGAGACTTGGGGGATGCAGACTGTACCCCTGTCTCCTGCTCCTCTGCAGGGTCACAGATCCCTGGAGCTGTGACGGGAGCCTGCTGGGACATGATGGCCATGCTCAAGCTCACCCTGACTGTCTGCTAACCTCCAGCCTGAGTCCCACAGGCCTGTGGGGGCCATGTGGGGCAGCTGTGCCTGACCAGGCTGTGCCAAGCAGTGCCATGCTGCGGTGGCGATTTGGCTGCGGTGTGGCCAGACCACTGGCTGAGCTTGGTCTTGCACAGAGATGTGCAGTGATGTCTGCCCGTGGCATCACAGCCCTTGGCCCAGGTTTGTGGCTGCCCTATTGCTGGGGAAGGCTTTGTCTGTGTCTCTTTTCTGGAGCAGCTGTAATGGATTCCTTGATGACGCTTGTGAGAAGGACCACGTGGCATTGTCCCTTTGTGGGGCCAGGGCTCTGGCAGACCTCAGGAGGCAGAAATGGGCACATCCCCTCTGTATGAACCCTGATCACAGGCAACTGTGTGTGTCCCATCTGCAATATCCTAACCCCATGGATATATCTCTGTGCAGAGAGGCATTCCCATAACCTTCCTGAGACAGGAGTCTCCAGATACTTCCCAGCTCTCAGTTCTGTCTTGGGGACAGTTTTACTTCCATTGACTTGTCGTTTCTGATCATGTTATGTTTGTTAGACTGCTGGGGACCAGCTGCTGTGGTTACTGCGAGTCTGCAGTTCTTGCCTCTTATCCCAGAAAGGGAAGAAGCTGAACAAAAAGCAGGGAATCTGGACATTCATGTTAAAAGAGTCAGACTTAGACAAGTGAAAGGCAGAACTGACATTCATGAGCAAGAGGAATAACAGCCTCCCTGGAGCTCTCCCTGCTAGTCTGAACAAGGCCCCTCTGGCTCCATAGGCAGCAGGATCCTTGGGGACTGTGAGGGCTAGGATCCTGGCAGTGTGCAAGCTGCAGTCTAAATACATCGCAGATCATCTGCATAATTTATTCTTCTGTGAAGTGTTTAATTTATCAGGTCCAATAATAAACTCATAAATCTCCTTTGCCTGTTATCAGGGTTGGGAGAAGATGCTCAAATTATAAGCATTTAATTTATCTCCTGAGCTGCTTCCCGTGCAGATCGGTGCATTTGACGTTACTGGATGTATATTCCCATGGTCAGCGTTCCACCGGGCTCTTGTCACCTGAGGATGGAAATGATGGCGCTCGAGAGGCCTGGCCCAGGAGGTTGTTGTGCCGACCCAGATCTGCTCTGCAGGTCAGGGTGGGATGGGGGCTGTGGACAAGAGCCAGGAGGAAGAGCCATCCTGCTGGAGATTGAGTGAGGCTGCTGCTGGTGCTGGGAGCCACTGCAGTTCAGAACCACGCTTTGGGACCCTCTCGCTGCCCTGGCCCACCTCTGGCACTGCCCTGGGGAGTTAGGGACCAGCTGGGGACTGGGCGCTGCGATGAGGGGTGATCCTGCTGCCAGCAGGCTGCACAGCCTCGCCAGATTGCTGGTGACTTTGATTGGTATCCTCACCCACAGAAACCTCCCTCTGGCTGGGAACTTGCAGCATTCTGGGCCTTGAGGGCTTCCTGTGGCAGTGAGCTACACCGTCTAGTTATGGGCGATGTAGAGAAGTATTTCCTTTTCTTAGTTCGAGATCCCACGACATCTTCCACTGCCCTCATGCTGTGAGATGAAAAGAGCAGAAGCGGCGTCTCCTTTCTGCAGACTATTCAGGATGTTACAGCCTTTTATCTGTGTCCCTTCTTATTTGCTTCCTAAGGCAGCAATCTCTGCTCTTTCCTTTTCTTATGACAGTTTTTCTTGCCCTTTGGTCATACTTGCCTCCTGATTTTGAGTCTACTTGGTTTTGTATTTTCCTGGGGAGCCTTGGTGCCCAGTCCTGCACCCGTTAGATGCATGGGGCTGTGTCCAGGATGATGGCTGTGCAGGCACCTATTCTGCATGTGCTCTGTTGTCCATTTTGCTCCAGGTGCTGCCTGTACTGCCTCAGCCCTTCCATACCTAGGGGGTGGTGGTACAGTGCAGCTGGTGCTTAGCTGGGTTGGGACATGGTGCTGCTGGGGGCTCACAGCTTGGCTTCCTGGGGCTGTACCATGGCTGTGCCAGCAGCTGCCATGACCTGCGGCCTTGGTGTGTATCTGGGGCAGGTTCCTATGCTCCAGATGACTGCTGTACATGTGTGGTTTGGTTAGCTGTCCATCTGATGCCTATGTGGGTGCCCAGAGGGTGTGGAGCTGGGCCACCAGGCATGACGGGGTGTTTGGGTTATGCTGCCTTTGGTGACACGTAGCTGTAGCCATGCAATGTAGCTCCAGCCCAAACCCACTGCGTTCCTGGGCTGAGGCCTGGAGGTGGCGGAGTGAGCTGGGAGCATGGGCTGCCAGAGACACTTTTGGTGGATGGGGAGTTCCTGCTCTGCAGCACCACACAACCCACCCCCTCATCCAAGCCTCCTAATTGCAGCAAACATGTCTCCTGGAACTGCTGACAGTGGTGGGGTGGGAGCGCTGGGTCTGGTCTGTGCCCTTGCCTGTCGTCAGACCATGGTCTGTGCTGCAGCGAGGGATTTTGGATGCTGCATGGGTGAGAGGGAGGCTGTGCAGGTGTCCCAGCCTGTGCCACCCTGTGCCCAGGGGTGTTACCCCTCAGCCCTAAGCCCTGCAGGGCTGTGCTTGTTGAGGTTTGATGTCCCTGCAGGCACAGCAGTCCCCTGCTCCACTGCCTGCCCTGTTCAGTCTTGGTATTCCCAGTGCTAAGGGGCAGGAGAGAGACTCAGTTCACTATGGTTACTAAATGTGCAGTCAGGACACATGCTTTCTCTGTGCTATTTTGTTGAAGTTCTACACAAACAGCTGTGGTAGATTTCCTTTGTTTTCATGGCACAGGTGTCCTGTGAGCTTTTCTCAAGAGAGGAGTCAGTGGGGCAGTGGCAGCTGTGTCCAGAGCATCATGCTGCGGCCCCATTGGGACCTCAGCAGCATCATTTTACAGAGGCACACAATAGCTGTTACGTTTTCCAGGTGCATTGCTGTGTCTGTGATCCCTCTGCCAGTGGAGGCTGAAGTATATCTTATAAAATGTTTAAAGCCTGGTGGCACCCCAGCTGCCCACGTGGCACACCATGAGCTCTCTGCAAAAACAGGTTCCTTGCTGTAGCCCCTTCCCCCCACAGCACCTTGCACTTGCTGACACCAGCTGCAGCACAACAGGCGTGCTCCAAGAAATCCCAAGTCATACATTTTTAATTTTCTACAACAGAGCAGCCATTTCAGCCACTCACCCAGAAAGGATCTTTAATGAGAAGCGAGGAGAGAGAGCATGCACATTTCCAGCACATAAGAGAGCAGAGACTTTATGGATATAGTTTTCTCTTTTCCTGACTGCCTCTAGCTGTTCCTGAATTTAGCCTGAGGCACTTGCCATGTCATCTTCTGGAGCTGGGCTTGCCTGGGCCCAGGTTCCTTGTTGCTCATCCCAAACAAGAGGGTCTACCCCGTGGAGGAACTGACCCTTAGCATTGCTGGCATTTCATCTTGAGCCCGCTTCTGCTCTCAGGCTGTGTCCTGCCCAGGACTATGCCTGGGAGTGGATGGAGCTGGGGTGGGAGAGGTGCTTGAGGTCTCTCACCAACCAGGGTGGGAGAGACGCTCAAGGACCCCCGCTGACCCAGGGTGGGAGAGGTGCTCGAGGACCCCCGCTGACCCAAGGTGGGAGAGGTGCTTGAGGAGCCCACTGACCCAGGGTGGGAGAGGTGCTTGAGGAGCCCACTGACCCAGGGTGGGAGAGGTGCTCGAGGAGCCCGCTGACCCAGGGTGGGAGAGGTGCTTGAGGAGCCCACTGACCCAGGGTGGGAGAGGTGCTCGAGGAGCCCACTGACCCAGGGTGGGAGAGGTGCTCGAGGAGCCCCGCTGACCCAGTGCAGCTGAATCCGCCTTCCCTGGCACTCGGGCCTGAGCTGTTCCCTCGGGAATCTGTGTTGCCCTTACATATGGTCTTGTCGAGCCGTGCTGTGGGGTCAGTGGAGGCAGGGGGCTGCCGGTCCTTCGGCTTGACTGGGCAAGGGGCAGAGCCCCTGTGGCTCTCCTTGGGGGGCAGCAGATGTGCCTGTCCATGGGGCGTGGATGGGCTCGTGTGGGCAGGAGAGCTTGGGGTGCAGTGCTTCTGCTTGCTTGGGGAAGCTACGGACACTCTGCTGTGGCGGGATGGCAGGTGTTGATGCAAGCTCTAGGTGACCTTGCCTCTCTCCCTGGTGTCCTGTGGGAGGTTTGCTCTGGGGATGCTGCTGTTCCCAGCCCTGCGGGTTCCACACCTCTCTGCAGTCCTGAGGCTGAATCTGCTCTCTACGTGGGTGCAGTGTGCCCAAGGGCCGTGCATGCGGTGCGCTGCGCTGATGCTGTCCTTGCTCTCTGTTGTCCGCAGGTTGATGAAGAGGGAGTGCTGTGACCCTGTGCTCGTGACAGTCGTTTCAGGTAAGCACTGTTCTGTTCTTCCTTTTTTGCCTTCAGAAATGCCCTGGGCCTCCCATGGGAGGTGGTGGGGAGAGGGCTCAGGCTGGTGAGGGCCCTGCAGCCTTGTCCTGGGAGGGAGTGGCCTGCCTGGGACAGTGGGGCTGGGGGCCCGGCTGTGGTGCTCAGGGGCAGCTGTATGGAGAGCTGAGGGCAAAAACGGGGCTTGTGAGGGCTGGTGAAGGATGGCAGGGCTCAGGCTGGAGGGGACAGGGTGCGTTCAGGCAGGCTGCAAGCAATGCAGAAGCAGTTATTGGTCAGGTAGGTCATTACTACATGACGTGCTTAGAGTAGGCATCAAGAGGAAAGGTCCCAGGGCAGACTGGCTAACCAGATCTGCCTGGGCCCATCCAGCTGGGATCCAGGATCTCTGCCTGGGACAAGTGCCACTGGTCTCCGAGGACAGGAGGGTTCTTGGACATCACATTGCTGTGGATGCTTCTTCCAGCCCTGGCTGCTCAGCTGCTGCCTCATGCAATGGGACTTTTTCCTGCCCTGCCTGAAGACACCGGACTCTTTGCAAGTGCTGCCTGTCCCCAGCACTGGTGTGACTGGTGAACATGTCACCCCACAGCTGTGCTCACGTATTGGGTGCTGCATGTGCTCTGCTCTACAAACCAGGGCAAGGTCTTGATAGGAGCTGGGTGTGAATGTGCAGCATGTTGTAAAAGGCATTTTCTTTGGCTGTAGTGAGTCATTTAGGCTCTTGGTGCTGCCTCTGTGGCTGATGTCAGGCTGGCACAAGGGAAGTTGCAGAACCATGGCATGAGGCCAGCCAGCTCCTTATGTGCACTGTGAACCTGCAGCACCATTGCTGGCAGGTGCCAGAGATCATGTCCCACAAAGGGAAGCAAAGCAATGATGAGTGCCCTTACCCCAGGAGGCCAGGCCAAGGGCAGGGGTGGCACGTGCTGCCTCCCAGGTCACTGAATGGATGTGGGCAGGGGAGGGATCCAGTAGCTGCTTTCTGTGACAGTTGCCAAGCCTGGGACAGAGGGAGAAGAGGACAGCCAGAGTTACACTGGGGACAGGGAAACATGCGCGACAACATGGGAGAGGGAAACAGGGAAGCTACTGCTCACCACTGGTGGAGAAGCAGCTTGAGCTGTAAGACATGGCTGGAGAAAGGTAGGGGAGAGATGTCCTGTGGGAGTGGGAGATGGCAAATGACAAACATCTGCCCATGATCTGGGGCTGGTCTGTCCCCTACCTGCCTTATGTTCTTTGCTTGGTGCTAGGCAGGGTTTCCTGCCCTGAGTCGTGCACTGCCCTGGCCTCTGTGTGCTCCTCTGAACAGCCTTCCCTCTTCCCTCTCCATGGGGTTTTCTTGGTGCCCTGCAAGGACCCCAGCCCCTCCCTGGCACAGTACCAGCTGATTCCTGTCAGTAGAAGGTCTGGATGATGCAGTTGCTGCTCCAGGTGTGCACACCTGGACTGTGTCCCTGGGGCTGTATTCTCACCTACTGCTCGCTGTGCACCAGTGCAACCAGTGCTGATGCTTGCAGGGAGCAGGACTCCAGCTTCTGCCCTGTGTCCAGGCTGTGACTTGCCAACCCCATTCACTGCAGACGTTTGCCATGTTCCACCCCAGGGCAGAGATGAGCTGAGAAGCGAGTGACCCCCATGTATGTGCACATCATATGGGCACCTCTGTGGGGCTGGGGCTCAGAAAGTCCCAGACTTACCCAGCCCCTTCTCCCTGTGCGCTAGTCAGGCTGAGCTGTGGTGTGCAGCAAGCAGTGTATGTCAAGCTTCAGGGTGAAGGCTTGGAAACCAGAGGATGAAACAAAGGAAACATAAAATGCTAATGCGTAAGAATAGTGGGTGCTTTTTCTGGCTTCAGCAAGCTCTTTTCAGAGCCTGCAGCTTCATTCCAGGACCCCTGAAATGTGTTGCCACTCCACCTTGTAAATCCTCCGGATAATTCAGGCTGCCCATGCAGGGCTGGCTGCGTTGCGTGGGCCGAGCCGCGTGGGCTGTGCTGCGTGTTTCCGTGCAGGGGCTGGCTGCGCTGCGTGGGCTGCGCTGCGTGTTTCCGTGCAGGGGAGTCGCTGTGCTGTGCCATGCCATGCCGTGCCAGGCAGCTTGGGGCTGAGGAGCTGCTGCGTGGCGAGGGGTGCTTCTCTGCAGGGCTGTGCCAGTTGTCTAAGCACTGGCTGCCGAAGCAGGGCAGGTGCAGTCTTGGAATATGTGCAGTGGGGGTGAATTGTGTTTGTACTGAGATGTGGGCATTTATCCAAGCTATTGTTCTACTGGCTTGTGTATTCAATGAAGTCAGTTCTGCATGGTCCCCGAGCACATCCGTGACTTGCAGGGCCCAAATCTGATTGCTGTAGCAGCATCATTTCTGACCACTTGCAACAGATTGCTCCACAGAAGACTGCTCTGACCTCGTCCTCCTCATTCTGCAGCAGAACAGCAGATCCTTGTGGGAGCAGGGCCCTGTAGAGCTGGCCTTGGTGAAGGCAATCCCTGTTGCAGGGGGGTTCCTAGCCCTGAAGGGGAAGGACCGTCCTTCCCTGCTACAGCAGGACCCCAAATCTGTGGGACACAGAGAGGCTTCTCGGTGTCTGTGGAAGGCCGTGGCTGAGTCAGGAGCTGGCTCAGTCCTGCACCGCTCTGTCCCCACTGTGGCTGCCCAGCCGGCTGCTGCCAGGAACCTCTTCCCCGACTCCTGCCAGTGCAGCAGCTCTGCCCTGTGCTGCCTCTGCGAGGTGGGATGGGGCTGGAGGCAGGGCTGGACAGGGGCGCAGGGAGAGGAGGGATGCCAGAGAGGAGATTAGTGTCTCAGTCCCAGACAAACAGATGGAGACAGCGTTATCCTATTACCTAAGAGCTAAGCGGGAGAAGCTGAGCGGTGTGTTCAGGCTGGCTGATCAGTGGGCGGTCGGGGCTCCTGCAGCGGCAGGATATTTTTCTGGGGTGGCAGCCACCCCAACACCAGCTCTGGATAGTGTCTGCACCTGGGCAGCACCGAGTCCCTGGGAACAGGTCAGATATCCACTCCTAGAGATGGGGTCAGCACTGGCAGCCCTGGACCCTCCACTCTGCTGCTGGGGCCTGGAGCTTTGACAGGGTGGCCAGGGTACCTGCAAGGTTGGGGTGCCGGGGTGGTGCAGAGGCTGTGCCGGGGCAGGGCCAATGCCATCGCAGATGAGGCTGAGTGAGGGGATGGTGATGGGACCTCGCTGGTGGCAATGACGACAGGGTGGTAGGTCCTGGAAGCAGTGAGGCTGCCCAGGTTGCTTTGCGGATTGTGTAATTCCCAGAGGTCTTTGGGTTTCTTGCTTCTTGCTGTGTCATGCTCCTCCTAAGCTGGAGCCTAGCAGGCAGAGGAACAGTGCAGGATTGCAACAGGTACAGGGCAGTCCTGAAGTCTGTGCAGCCCTACAGCTGTGCAGGGTGGCAGGCTGGGCCAGCCTGGGCTCTGGCATTGCACACACATCGAGGGGCTGGGTGTTTGCCTGGCTGTGCTGCCGCGGGTCCGTGCCTGCTGCCCGCTGCGCATGGACACAGAGCTGCTTGCTGAGATGAAGGTGGGAGGTGTGGGAACCTAATGCTTGGATTTACTTCTCCTTGGGCTGTACCACCTTCCTGGGCTGTGCTTACCTGCAGTGGTACCCAGAGGTGGTATGGGGAGGTGGAGGGAGCAGATGTGCTTTCTGCCAGCCTGTCCATGGTGGGGCAGGCTCCAGGGTGTTTTTCGTCCTGGCTGAGCCTTCATGTATGTCTGACCCAGGCACGCTCTCCTGTGTCGATGTGCCGGGAGTGTGTGTGTGTGGGTCATTATGTTCTGGCTCCACATGAGGAACTGGTCGGGGTTCAGTGGCTTGTGGGATGGGAGGAGATACCAGTCCACTCAGTTCACACCTCTGGGCAGTGGTGTCCATGGCCAGGCTGGTCCATGGGTCTCTGGAAGGGTCTGACTCCCTGCTCTGGTCTTGATGGTGATTTCCAGCTGCTCTGGTGGAACTGTGGATGGTGCAGTGCTGCCAATGAGGAGAGGTCTGTCCCTGTCCTCGTTGGTCCTGCATGGCAGCATGACCTGCTGACTGGGCAGGCATCAATGAGGCTGCAGCGGGGGTGCAGGATCGGGGGACCCCGACCGGGGGTGCACAGGGCCTTGCACGTGCTCCGTGAGAGCGTGTAGCTGTGGTTACCAAGGTGACTGTGTTAAGTGATGTTCCTATGGCTACGCACTGCTCGCGCTCAGAGTTACTGTGTGGGGAGCGTGCAAAGCCCCCAGGTTCCCCTGGTGCCTCCTGGTGAGGCCGTTCGCATTGCAACCATTCCCTGGCTCCCACTCTGGAGACGCCTTCCCAGGGTGGGAGAGGCTGCCTGGGCAGCTCTCGGTGCTGAGCTGCCCCATGGGCCAGGGGCTCTGCTGGGCTCTGCAGACCCTGAGGGCCTGAGGCTAAACGGGCCATACTCTGTCACTGCCTGGGTCTCTGTGCCTGGTGGGGAAGGACCTGCAGTTTGCAGACACTCCTCTTGGAACAGGCTTGGGGCAGGCCCTGTGCAGTGGTGAGACTCCGGGGACACCCTCCCTACTAGAGCAGCAATCACAACATTCCTGGAGCCCTCTGTTAGTGGTGCTAGTTCCTGTGAGGTGTCCTCATGGCACACGGAGCCCGTGGATTATCACAGGGGAGTAGGTTCTGCAAGCTTTAAAGTCTTAAGCCACTTCTGCCTTTCCCTAGGCTCTGTTCCTCCCTTCAGCCAGATGCACCCTGAGGTGGGGTCCTGTGGGGACCAGCTGGGGTGCTGCATGGCCGGCGGGGCTGATTCTGAGTGCATGCTGTACAGGGGAGCGTGAGGGCAGCCTGGGAGGAAGGCCTGTGGTCACTGATGCTTTGCCAGGAACAGGGACAGATATGGGAGGGGGCTGCATGACAGGAAGCAATAGGGACTTGCCTCCTCCCTGATGGAGAAGAGCTTAGGGTGAGCTGAGACATGGGTCAGTT